TCCAGCCACCAGAGCTGGGAATGGTGTCTGTGAGCCTCTATGCTTAGCCCCATTTATTTTGTGCATCTGTTAGCAAGAGATGTCCTAAGATGTCAGGAAAGCCAAAGCGAGGTTATTTTTTAGATCTGGGCATGCTCAACATTTTTTCCATATAAATTAATGGCATATGCTTCTTTGATTACACTATTTTGGCTTCTGAAAGGCTTCCTAGGAATGCTCTTTCTACTTTTGGATAGCAGGATGGAGCCTCTACCTGGTTCTCATCCATACAGAATTTTTGGCATTTTCCTTCACACACACACACATACTCCCTCACACCTGAATGCAAAGTAAATAAGTCTTTGAAGGAAATTTTGCCTTAAAGTGCTTCTGTAATTCATTTCAATAAAGCATCTAGAACTCTTTCCCCCACATCTAATAGGATTAATCTTTAAAAGCATCATCTTCTCCAAGCAGGTGCAAACCTTTGAATGCCCTCAGGGAAAGACCAGCCAATGAGAGATTATTCTGGTGACGTAATGCTTCTTAACTTACTCTCTTGCAGATGCAATTGGGGAAGATGCTTTTCAGAGCATCAAACGTATTGAATTTAACTCTTTCTCACCTGACTAATTACAGCTCACAAGCCACTTCTGCTGCTTCGTAAACATGTCATGTAGGACAGCCCTGACATAGTTATGCAAAATTACTAGACTACAGAATTTCTTTTGAGCATTGACATCTGTACCAACTGGCATTCCCTACCTTTCTTGGGAAATCATTACTTCCATATCCTGGTTCTTATGGAAATAAATGATACATTAACTCTAGCCAGCAGCAGATAAACTTCTAGTTCTTTCTCAGATACAGATTCCCATGAAAATCAATTCAAAAGGGATAGAGAACTTTATATATATTTTTTCTTTCCCATCAAAATCACAGTTGAGGGCACCTGGGTGGCTCAGTGGGTTAAGCCTCTGCCTTCTGGGTGGCTCAGTGGGTTAAGCCTCTGCCTTTAGCTCAGTTCATGATCTCAGGGTCCTGGGATTGAGCCCCGCATCGGGCTCTCTGCTCAGCAGGGACCCTGCTTCCCCTCTCTCTGCCTGTCTCTCTGCATACTTGTGATCTCTCTCTCTGTGTCAAATGAATTTTAAAAAATCTTAAAAAAAAACACAGTTGACCTCTTGTGACTGTGTACTAACTTCATTTTTCATATTCCTCCACTTTATTTCAAAGATTAAAAAAACACTTGAAACAGCATTTGAATGGCCAGATATGTTCATAGTGACATAATCTTCTGCTTAGTGAGCAGTGCACAGGACTCTCTTGATGCAAATGAATGCTTCTGAGTATCTAGAGAAGCCCTAGCCAGGGTAGGTGAAGACCCACTACCCATCACATAGTGTATTTCTATGAAATGGTGGGCAAGACGAGATAAATGTGTATTACTTTCTACTAGTAAAGAGTGCAAAAAAGCAGACACCAGCTACAGATCTCAGGCAGGTGTGATTTCGTGCACCAGCTTGTTCCCATCCCTCTCCCTCCACCCCAAGCCTCACTTTTTTGAGCCAAAGAATGCAATTGTAAGCATATTGTGAAAAACCTAATTTGAAAGAGGAGTGTCATGATACCTGAGCAGACTCATGGTTTATCTGATCTGACACCCAGGAAGAAAGCAACTCCGACTGCTCAGCTAGCTGTGTAATCGGAGGTGCTGGATGTAATTCGGAGATGATGAGCTGTGAGTACTTGGAGTAAAAATGTTGGAAAGTTACTTTGCTAGAACTTCCCTCCTTGTTTCCTTTTTCAGACTCCCCTCCAAACCCTTTGAGAAAACTCTGTTAATTTTTGGCTCATGAGTCTTTCTTGGGACTTTTCTACTTATTCAGGTCATGGTATTCCGGTTGCATTGGGCTGGGATGCAATTATGGAACCGTAGAATGTTTCAGACCTGGCTGTAAACAGTGTCTCTACCATATAAGGGAGTGGTAGGTCACTCTAACTTCAGGGAGACACACTTTCTCTGTCTATTAAAATGAAATAATAATCCCATAGGTGTTATTTAAATAGTATTTATAAAGTTCTTGGCAAGTCGCAGGTATTCAGTCAATAGTAGCTATGGTTATGACTAGTTTTATATATGTATAATTCCAAGCCCCTTTACCTTTCAAAGTTGAAAACTGCATTATATAAAATGACTACTTGCCCACAGCAGACTCCCTGACATAAATTTGATCAACCTTTTGATTGTGAAATGAACCATTCTGTTTTCCCTTGAAGATTTAGTTGTACTTAATTCTTCATTTACCACATCATCCAGTTGTCTTTTATTTTTGTCCATTAATATTTCAGAGTCAGAACTTTACAAATACATGATTTTAAATACTATCAGAATAAAGAATAGTAGCATAGTATATTTCTTCTAGAGATTCATTGATATTTTAAGGCCATGGCTTTTCCAATTCTATAGTAAAGTTCCTGGAAGGCACTGGTCATGCAAATTAGTAGTTTGAGGTTTTCAAGCTAATTTTCAATTAGCTTGAACTAAACTGTTTGTATCCACTGACACATTCCTGCAAATTGATTTCAGATTTTAAATTGCAAGGGCTAGGGGCACTTGGGTGGGTCATTCGGTTAAGCATCTACCTTCAGTTCAGGTCAAGATCCCAGTGTCCTCGGATCAAGTCCTGGGTCGGGCTCCTTGCTCAGGGCAGGAGCCTGCTTCTCCCTCTGCCTGCTGCTCCCCCTGCACGTGCACTCACTCCGTCTCTGACAAACAAATAAAGAAAATCTTTAAAAAGTAAAGATAAAAATAAATAAATCTCAAAGGCTATTAAGTTCACGTTATCAGAATTTACTGAATGCCTGACCTGTACACGGAGAGACTCTAAGATGAACCCAGCGGTGACAGCACCCAACTGTAAAGGCTTGGTTGCTACCACCCAGGCACGGTGCCTGGCAAAGGGGCAGACAGCACAGTGTGTTAGTTTCCATGACAGAGTTGTGTATAAAGTTACCGGAAACACAGGAAGTGCGGCTTTTACTTGAACACTGGAGGGGTGAGTTTTTGAGGAAAATTATAGCCGGGTAATATTGGCTTTCAAAGAATAATAAGGATTCTCTTATTTGGATAAAGTAGAAGAGTATTCCGGGTGGAAGGAATAGCCAGGGTAAAGGAGGAAAGGATTGCGGACTCATAGCTATTTGTGGGATGGCTACTGACCTAGCCTACTGTTTGGTATTGGATGGATGTGTGGTGAGGGAAAGAAATGTTCATGTGTAGAGGGGCTTTTTGGAAAACTAATCTGTTTTCTTCCAGATCATAAGTATTCTCATCTTATCTTTGTTACATACCATGAGAAAATCCATAATACATACTGGATTTTTTTTTTCTTTTTTGTGATGTCTTTAAGCCTATTTGTGCTTAAATGAAAGAACCCTATTCCTTTTTCTTCCTATGATTTAAAAAAAAAATTCTGGTGTACTACTAGACTTCAAATAAGGTAAGTGTAAATTTTACAAACCCTATTTCAAGAAAGCAATATAAATTGTACAAAAATAATACTTGAGATCTAGATAACATCTGTTAGTTTTGATTCTTGTAGAAGCATACATGAGCAAACTTGTAAAAGGCCATACATCTCAATAACGTGACTAATAATGTCAGAGTATGCATTAGAGAAGTATTGTTGATGCTAACTTTGTGTAAGACTTACCTGGGAAAACCTCATTGTTCATATTCACATGGTAAAGCATAAAACCATCGGGTCAAAGCATGGGGCCATTCATGTGTGATAATGTGGGTGTGAAACATTCTTAAATAAAACTTGCTGAAAGTTCTCTGTCATTTTCTTTGAGTTTATTCACTGAATAAGAAGAAGTCTGCATACCTTAGGACAGGACTATGTGTATATGCTCAGTAATTCAAGTATGTTCGGTGATTTTTATTAGAGGTGCACTGGAACGTATTATTCACACATAAGTGATGCTATTGTTAGAATAGGAATTCATCAATTTAACAAATGGTGTGTGCTGAACTGTCTATATCCTGTTCCTCCTTTGTGACCAATATCATGTATTTTAGAAGTAGATCACCGGAATTACAGGTAGTCGAGTCCCTCCTGGGTTATAGGTTTTCATCATGTAAAAGCAACTGCGTGGAGATTCAACCCACCTCTGAGGCTGATTAGATAACATACACAGGATTATTTGTCTAAGTGCGTGAGTGTTTATAGGCTACCTCATTCTGAAGTATTTAGAGGTTCTTAGAGTTATATGTGTAATGCAGGAAAATCCACTATAGTCTCTTAAATTCATGAAACAAGGAGGCTGGAACAGGACTCTAATGGCATGACAGCCTATGTAAGCAAACCAAAATCTAAGCCTATAAATGCCTCAGGGTTACACAGTCAAAATCTGAGGACAACGGGTCGCAAGAAGCCAGTTGGGCTTTAAGTGATAGCCTATCCACAACAACCTTGTTTTATTTCAACCTCTTCTCTTAGGAGTCTCTGGCCAGCTCCTCACTGGTGGAGCACTCCTGACCACTTCCAGGTCGCTGCTGTCCAATTCAGACTGATAAGTGCTCAAATAAACTCTAAAAAACTTTCGGAGTGCCTAGCTGGCTCAGTTAGTAAAGCCTGCAACTCCTATTTTTTTTTAAGATTTTTTAAAAATTTATTTGAGAGAGAGAAAGACAAAAGAGGGGCAGAGAGAGAGGGAGAAGTAGACTCCCCACTGAGCAAGGAGCCCAATGTGGGTCTCCCTTCCTGGACCCAAGATCAGGAGTTGCAAGCTCAGGGCACCTGGGTGGCTCAGTTGGTTAAGCGTTCGCCTTCGGCTCAGGTCATGATCCCGGGGTTATAGGTTTGAGCCCCATGTTGGGTATAAAAATTACTTTAAAAAAAAATCTTTAAAAAAATGTTTTATATGCCTCAGTTTATCTTTTAACTAGTTATTTAAAAATACGAAATTCTCAGGAAAATTTAAAAATAAAGATGGCTTTCTGTTTTCTCCATCAGCTGTGAAGAAGAAGGCTGGCTTTATCACTCCAGTTCCAGGAGGTGTGGGACCCATGACGGTGGCAATGCTTCTGAGGAACACTCTTCTGGCAGCTAAAAAACTCATTTACTAGGTCACATGAAAGAATAAAAGAAAATGAAATCATGCTCTTTATTTATTTGACAAAGGCAAACACCTTTATATTTTACTACAAAGCTATTTATTTCTACATCGTATTTATTTTTTCATGGATGGAATCGTCATGGATCAGATGATTCATGCAACTTGACGCAGTTCCTGCTCACGGATTTTGAATTTTAGAGGAAAAAAAAAAAAGAAAAACAATTCCAGTGAAAACTTTGGTAACAGTGGTTTATTTTGTGAATAATATTTGTTCATAATATTAAACAATAAAGGGCTCATAACAAATGAATATATTTTTGACACAAATATCGCGCACAGTATGCTTTCAAGAGATGTCTTATCAGCCAAATGGGTGCCCGTGGATAGTATAATTTAGGTTTTGACATAAGCAGACTCCATTTTTATATATTTTATGTTTATTACATGCTGAAAAAGAGCTTACGTGCTAAAAGAAAGATAAAATATTAAAAGTAAAATCTTGGTCTCATGTGTCTCCCAAATGGATGCTGTGAGGCATCTTAATGAGAAACGATACTCCATTCAAAGTAAGAAAAGTAAACAAAGGAGGCAGAAGAATGCGTGCTGCTTAGAAAGGAAGTGATCATTTCAAACTGTGAGTGACTACTTGCCATAGTAAAATGTAACAAGATTATGTTAGGTTTACGTGTAATTGATAATACCTTCCTTGAGGAATAATGGAAGATCCAAACCAAACATACAAAACAAAACTGTGGTTGTGTCCTCCCACAAATACTAGAAAAATATGGTATAGTATGAGCGAGGACTTCATTAAAGAATGAAGTCTGTTCATAGATTCAGAAATTAATAGGAAAATAATACATTTACAATGTGCCACGCTAAACCTTAGACTATAACTGAAAATCTACTGCTTTGTTGCCCACAATCCTTCCCTCTTCTGTTATGGCAGTTGAGTTGGTTCTCAGAGTAGATGCCACATTTCTAACACAATTTAAATTAGGAAATAAACCTGAATGTCACTGGAAGGCTATTTTGAGACTACCCTAGTCACTTAATTGTATTGTTTTCGTGCCAAATCCCGGTGTGTTTATGTACCAATAATGATTCTTACCCAGTGCATGTTTTTATCAGTGTGTGCCCCTGATCAACTGTGTGAAAATAGTCTAGATACTTATAATTAATCATATTTCAACTGTATAATAAAAGCAATTTGAAGAATACCTGTCTTCTTTCTTCCTTAAGATATTTATGAGATTTTTTTTTCATGTATTTGTTACCTCTTTCTTTTTTCATGGTTTCAAGTTTTTATTTAAATTCCAGTTAGTTAACATATAGTGTAATATTAGTTTCAGGAATAGAATTGTTACCTATTTCTTTACCGTCTGCTGGGGAAATGTACAAGTTTTTTCAGCATGCAAGAAAAGGTTCTATAGCCCATTCCAAAGTCAGTCCAGACCTATCTTTGTGTGGTAACCTCGACAGAAGTTTAAATTCAAAGCTCCCAAGTAAACATTTCAGAAAGGGCCCCAGATTCCCCCAAACAGACAAAACTGACCCAAAATACATGTACATGGAAAAAGTAAAGTCTGCAGTTTCGAGCTTACCATCCCCAACCCCCGAAAGTACAGCAGGAATTATTTTGGGAAGATTTCTGCCCCTTGGCTAAGCTAAAATTCAGGAGGGAATCTTTCTAGAGACTAAAACACTGGAAAAGAAAATTTGTTCTGACATTTGGTAAAAGCGGTAAGGACTACTTTATCCAAGACTGTAGCAGCGGGATCAAGGCGACTGCAATAGAAAAAATTGAACTCAACTCCAAACACAGCAAAGATGGCTGTGGATCTATATCCAATGAGCAGAGTAAGGGGATCAGTAGGTGGGAAATTACTCTAAGAGGAAATTGATTATATTTCAAGTGTAGGAAGACTCTTGCAAAACTAGCTTACCAGGATTCTTGCTGAAGGCAGGCCAGATATCAAGGGTAGGACAAGAGAACCTGATCAGATATTGAGGAGAAGGTCCTCCATAAACTGACTTAGCAGCATTCTTTGCTAAAACTGGGTTCAGCAGGCCTAGTCAAGAAGACGACTCGGAGTCTGACTGAAGTCCAGTCAAGAAGGAAGCCTTTGTCAACACATAAGGGAGATAAAGTTGGTTCATTGGTACCATGACTTCATTTATGGATATTTGGGGTGAATAAAAGGTAGACATCAAAAAGATGACAGCCAGACGAGGCGCCTGGGTGGCTCAGTGGGTTAAAGCCTCTGCCTTCAGTTCAGGTCATGATCCCAGGGTCCTGGGATCAATTTCTGCATCGGGCTCTCTGCTCATCGGGGAGCCTGCTTCCTCCTCTCTCTGCCTGTCTCTCTGCCTACTTGTGATCTCTGTCAAATAAATAAATACAATCTTAAAAAAAAAAGATGACAGCCATGCAGCAGGGATTTGGAGAAGTAACTTTTCTTCTCCTGCAAGTCTCTATAAAAAGAATGAAGGGGGATTGAACAATAATACAAAGATATGGAGGTGAGAATGGGTTTGGCAAGCATATATGAAAGCGAGAGTCAGACTGAAATGAACGGTGTGTGTTGGACAGTGATGGAAATCCAGCTGGATAGGTAAGCAGAGATAGATTTAGAGCGTGCCTAGATAATTGAAGGCCACGTTTGGTGAATTAGGAGAATTGCTGTTAGAGCCTAGAAGATATTATCATTGATTAACACGAGAAAGTTACAAAAGGGAGCTGATTTTGGAGAAGAGATTATGTTCAGTTTAACAGTGTCACGTGATGAAAAAACACATAAAGTCTTGGTATAACATCAGTCTGGGAAGAGACTAGTGATGAAAATTTAGGACTCAGTACCATGTACTAACCACTAAATCCCTGACCTTGTTGGCCATTCTACACACCCTGGGCCTCTACTCTTGCTCAGTAGCAACGGCTGTCCTTAAGAGAGCACCCAGCATGTGCTAAATGCTTTACTTTTTGTGTTGTTATGGACAATCTACATTTGATAGATGAGGAAATTGACCCTTGTGGTTATTAGAAAGCCTTAGCCAGGGCCAGATGGATAGTGGATGTGGAGTTAGAATTCAAAACAAGGTCTGGGATGATGTGAGTCAGAGCTCACTCTCTTGTCATTACAGCACGCTGCCTCCCTCACTGCCTCCCTGACCTGGAATCCTTTCTCTTCTTACATACCTACACCTTCCTTGTTATTCCAGGTTCCCTCCATGAAAACTGCCACAAGAATTTGACGAAGTCCCACCCCTGAACTCTCACAGCCATTTCGGCACATCCGTGGCCCTTCTCAGTTCCTACCAAGTTCTGTAGTTATGTATGTGCTTTCCTTAACTCCCTTCAGTACCTTGAGGGCAGAGTCCATGCGTGATTTGTCTCTTTGTCTTCCTAACACCACATCCAGCCCAGGGCCCTGGATGTGGCAGGCATTCGATATTGACTGAAGGAATGGCAACTGCATACATGAGAATTACAGAATAAGTTGAGAGAGAGAGAGAGCAATGGACCGATGATCATTTCCTGCCATTGTCTAGCAATGGATTTTTGTTGAGTTACTGAAAGAGTAAGAAAGAAGGCAAAGAAAGAAAAGGAGGGCAGAAGGGTGGGTCGGGGCTGGGGGGAGGGAAGACACTGTCAGAGATGCTTATGACCAGAGGAGAGAGATGAGTAAATTAGAAAAACAGAAAAAGTGGCAGAAGGGAAGATAGTGGAGGATTTTTAGCCTTCTTTCCCCTTTTTCCAACATGCTCCAATGTGTCTCAAGAAAGAAGGTATCAGTAAGGCCACCTCGCAATGCCCATTCCCCTGTTCTTCAGGATTGGGTAAGGGCCTTTTTGTGAGAGGACTGAAGAAATGAAGGCAGGGGATTCTCTTAAAGAGTGTGTAAGTGGGATCCATTAGTAGGAGTCCCAGAGTAAAGACGTGCGTGAGCTGACTAGAGCGATTTTCTGGTATGTCTTCTGGAAAGTGGTAGGTGAGTTTCTGTGTTATGTGGCGTAATTTCACCAGAGTGGGGAAACATCAGGAAAGAACAGAGGCCATTCCTCTCAGCCCATATGTGAGTGAAAGCCACAGTTGATTTAATATTTAGATTCTTAGGATAGAGGTAATTTATTTAAAGTTTGATTTTAAGAGATCCTTCAGAGAATTCCTCAGATCCGTATATGGATTTCTACCAGAGAACAGAGCTGGGGAAGTAAAAGGGACATAAGATCTGGAATCCGAATACAGATTTAATTCCTGACTATAGGGGATTTGGTACGTCACTCTTTTGAGCCTCTATTCCTCAGTTTTCATATGCCTTAATAGAAATAAGACCTCTTGTTTATTTCTTCGTTGACTCAAGTTGGATTCATTAGGTATATACCATATGTTAGGCGCTGGATTCGTTGGGGCCAGAATTACTAAAGAAATGATGGAGATGTGCAATGAAGTCTTTGGCAAAATGCAAAGCATTATGCAAACTCCACTTAGCCATTAATAACCAAGATGGCTGTTGTACTATGTCCCAGCCTTACAGATAAAGATATTCAGAATTAGTCATAATATCTCCCTTCAACAACTGCAATGATCATAATAGTTTATTTAATCTTTTGCAAAGTTTTTCTTCTTAAATTCACAGCAGTGGTGCGGAGGATGTTATTTGATTTATAATTCAAATAATATTTGCCTGGGAAAAATATTATCCAGAAATTGTTTTAATAATGAACAGTTAAAAAAAAGACCTACAAAAGTAGAAATACAAAATGTAGGCACATTTGAAGTAAGCCAAGTGTTGTATATTCTTTTAACTTTAAAATGATGACTCTTGTGGTGATTGCCCAACTTATAATGAGTTCAACAAGCTCATTCTTGTGTGATTTCTGAAGCCAAATTCATATTTCAATAGTGAAAGAGATCCTTTCTGGTAAACCAAATTTGCTAGATGGACACAATGCAAATGATAACCTATCTTAATTTAAACAGGTTTTCAAGGTCCAGAAAATAGGAGCAATTGAAATTCCTGGTAGAAAGACATGCCACCTCAGTAAAACATATTTATATAGGTTCTTTATAATAATCTGGGGCAAGTGAAAATTTATGGGAACCTCCTACACTCACAAAATCTAATAGCAATCATCACATCTTGGCCTTTAAAATGGTACTTTCGTAATCATAACTAGATTAACAGAAACATTTGAATGTCGTGTTAAATTTAGAACTTTCCATTCATTAGACATACCAAACTTGAATATTTTAATTTTATCTTAGTGGAAATGACATCATCATCATCACCACCATCACCATCATCATTATCATTTTGGTACCTCACTGGTTCTCTCTAGCCAAAGCCCTTTAGCACAGATTGAAGCACAGTAGCTCTAAGGAAATTGGGAGCCTATTCCATTTCATCAGAAAAATCTTAAATGGCAGAATCACATAAAGGCAAACGTTACGCTCTTCAAAATAATTATTTTCACAGAACTTGTAGTAGCAACACAAAGTAGCAAACAATTACAATGGAGTATGAAACCTCTGCTTTTACCCAAATTTCATTTTCTGCCCTGCTTCTAAATTCCAAGATATCTTGATTTGCTCGCAGTCTGTACGGAGAGGCGGCGTAACTGACAGCAGTTTCAGGGGTGTTTGAGTTACTGCCTGGTGATGCTGTTTCCTGGTTTGCAAGTATCAGAGCTCTCCTGGGTTGGAATCCTATGTAGGTCATTAGCAACTTTGGAGCTGGTACCAGTGTGTTCCCAGCAATGGGGCCTTTCCCGGATTTCAATTCTTTTTTGTTGTTTTAAGTACTTTTAAATACACGATTATGCCCACAGGTAACAAGAAACCAGTGTTTCAAAAGAAAACCTGATCACATTGCTAGATAACACAGGTATCCTAAACAAGTGTGCTAGCGCCTGGAGGGCTCTACCTGCGGCTGCTGCCAGGAGTACATATTTTTTTGATTGGTAAGAACTGGCAGATGACGCTTCACGAAATATAAATGCAAGAAAGGCTCCGGAGAGCACAATAAAAACCTTCCACCGTCAGTCTCGGAGGATAAGAAAGATACTGTTACCAGCAGCAGGAAATGGCCTTCGGAGTCTCAATATCAGTCTATCTCTTATTCAAAGGTAGGTAGCTCCTTTTCGTCTTGTTAATTTTGTGTCCGTGTAAAGTATGCATAGAATTTGTTTTCTCTGAATTAACGAGCAGTTGGCTTTTAACCTTCGTTCTTCATGACAAAGGACAGAGCAAGAAATCTGTGAATTAATTTTCTTATGTAAAGCTGGTTGGGTTCCTAACAGATCGTTACAACCCCTTTTTTGAGACCTGTATGCTCGCTTTATACAGCAAGAGCAGTTGATACATTTTAACTACTGTGTCCTAGCAGCCTTGTGATTGAATTAGTAACCCACATATCCACTTTCTCGTAAAAATAAATGTATTTCTATTTTCCGTAATTAAAAGGTAATCCCTGGAATAGGTATGGATGAGAAACAGTCAGGAAACTGCCCCGGTCAGGTTTTGGATTTCAAATGTAAATGAATTAAAATAGAACACAAGTGGGAATAAGTAGACTGAAGAATTTTGGATCCGTGACTTGCACCTAATTTTCAATCTGTTGCTTGCACATAGAAGGAGCTCACCTGCTAAAGATGCCTTTCCCCCCCCTTCATATAGCAGTGACAGCCTTGACCGCAGAGGCAGCCGTGTCGGGAACACCCCCAATCACAACCCAGCAAAGTAACTGGACAGTTAACAAAACGGAAGGTATTTTCTTCACACTTGTGTATTTTAAGTGCCTTTTTTTTTTTAACCTTTTGAGAGATACTTGGATTGTGATCAAAGCAACATCGGAAATTTTGAAATATATATTTTATTATTAGATAATCGACTCTTTTAGCAAGATGTTGTTAAATGGAAGTGACAGTCCATATGCCCGCAAAGAATTGCCTTTATGAAAGGGGCAAGCAAAGTGGATGAGAGACACAGAAATCGTTTTCAGTTACGGTCCTGAATGTGAAACATGCCACATTTTCTGCCAATAACCCACGCGTGTCCCAAGGCGGCTTGTCCCCATTTTGGCATTCTTTTTTTTTTTTTTTTAAAGATTTTATTTATTTATTTGACAGAGAGAGACCACAAGCAGGCAGAGAGGCAGGCAGAGAGAGAGGAGGAAGCAGGCTCCCTGCTGAGCAGAGAGCCCGATGCGGGGCTCCATCCCAGGACCCTGAGATCATGACCTGAGCCGAAGGCAGAGGCTTAACCCACTGAGCCACCCAGGCGCCCCCCCATTTTGGCATTCTTGATGTCTGCTGTTTTGATACAGTCTTTTCATCTGTGACCATGACTTTGCAGCCAAAGAAACGATGACAAGATGAAGCCTTAATCCATCTTTGGAAAGATCTTTTTTCTTGTTTTGTTTTGGGGGGATTTTGTTGTTGTTTTAGCATATGCTATACTTCCAAACCATTTATACCCAATTTTGGTTGTTGGTGGTGATGATATATCATCACCATGACTATTGTTATTAGAATAGCTTCTGGCTGCTGTTGCGCGTCATTATTTTTTAAGCCTGTTTGAACTCTCAGAGGTGAACTTGGTAAACCTGTGACTTGCCAAGACCTGTGTACCCGGTAGTTACAATCCTCACACAAATCACTACTGCCTCTTGTGAAGACAGGTAATAAGACATAGGACAGAGAAAACACCATATTTTGCTCTCAGAGCCAGGCAAATAGAAGATCAGTCAGATGTTTTGTTTCTGAATACGAAGGCAAGTAATATTTAAACATTCTACATTTCACCAGTGATTTTAAATTAAAAAAAAAAATTCACTTAAAATATTTTGCCCATGTGAGTTTTGAATAACTACCCGCTTGCAAAAGAAAATCTGTGTGAGCTTTAGAATAATTTTTAGCCAAACTTCTTCATGTCTTCTGAGCCTTTGAGCCAAGAGGAAAGATCTTCACTGGGGGATAATACTTTAGAAAATTTAAGAACAGTTTCCCCTCAATGACTGGCTTCGTAAAAGTGCACCCAGTACCACCTTTTTACTTCCTTAATAGTGAAAGTCTTCCAAGTTACAGAGAATAATAATAGAAAACAGGGGACTGAATGTATCATCTCTACAGTTTTCCTTTGTTTTCTTGATGGAGAACTTCAGTTTTTCTGTTTTGAATTTAATTTAAAAATCTGCATCCAATATCTTAGGAAATTTTTTGTAAACTTGTACCTAATATTCTTCTCCTTAGGGGAAAGATGAGGCTCTCTAGTACACTCTTTCTTTGAAGATGTTTTCTTTCAGTTCTCACATTATCTAGCAAATCCTGGTTCAGGCTTGGCTAATTCAATTGATTTAGTCTTGAAACAGGAAGAACCAAATACGGTGTACAATGGGAAATTCTTACTGGCTTAGAGTTAATTATTAAAATGAGACTCTAGATTCACAATATCGCATTCAACAAAATGAAGGTGAATCTTAAGGTAATATTGTATGCTCTCAGCCAAAATGAAGTTATCTTATTGGTGGCTTAGTACCTAAAATTCAGTGTTTTAAATATAAGAAAAATATACCTTTTTATATCTTTTTTTTCCCCTAAAAATAAATAAGTAGGATTCTGTACATCTACTTAGCTAGCAAGGCAAATATGGTGTCACATGATAACTAAAAATGGGGAAATAAGTTTTCATAACAAGACAAAATGGAATGTCACCAATTCTGCTTGGGACAAGTTTAAGAATCAGTAATTAGATTTTTACCAAAGAGGGCTCAATTACATGGCTTTACCCAAGTACCATCCCCACTGCATAGGCCCCAAGGATAGCATAGGTATATGTCTTCAGTCCATCAGAGAACAAGGAATAAGCATCCTGAAATGTATACATTTTGCCACAAGACAGTTTCCCAAAGGAAAGCTTCCTTCAGAGATTCTAGACACTTGACCATGGAAGTTTTGCCAGATGTCATTTGCACAGTGTTAGAAGTCAAAACCCAAATTTTCTCATTCTGTCTATCTCAAGGGTTTTCTCTATTTTCTCAGAATGTCTCTTAACGAGTAAAATTTCCAATTAATATTCAAAGGTGTTGTTTCAACTGTGTGAAGCTTGAGCTGTAACTTGTTTCTGGCTTCTTGTATAGGTCATGAAAATTCCTCTTCTGAAATCAGGCACAGGGCTCCCTTTACAAGTCCTTTCTCAATTGATAGTCCACAGAAGAGGAAGCGGGGAATTCTCATCTTCTCAACTTCATTATCTCCATAAATCCCGATTCCCTATGCTGACTTCTCAGGTGTGAATGGGAGAAATAAAAAAGGAGAATCAAGGCTAAAATAAGAATCAATGCTGCCACCTTTAGGCAAACTTGTATCTCTACCATATTATGTAGAAGGAACAGAACAATCATCCATCCACCTCCAGCCCCTAATTACTGATACGTCTAAATGATATTAACCTAGAGTCTGTGACTATAACCTGCCGACGGAACCAGTCAGTAGTTTAAAAGGCAGAGCACCCAAAGAATATTCTTAAATTTAAAACTCTCTTTACATACGTGTAACAAAACTCTCTTTACATACGTGTAACAAATCTACTATAAGAGTGTGACCCACTTCATCTGTTAATGTTGTATGTCCTTTTCCTAGTTGACTACACAGAAGGACCCATAGCCTTGAAGTTCTCACATCCTTGCCTGGAAGACCACAATAGTTACTGCATCAATGGTGTTTGCGCATTCCACCATGAGCTGGAGAAAGCCATCTGCACGTAATTGCAAAGAACTTTCCAAGTCCTAGAGATGGGAGGAGATGAATTTACGTTTGACACGTTTCTATGCGGTTCACATAGTACATTTCCACACACCTGTTTCTTATCTAGTAAAAAGGGTACATCATCCGGACATGAATCACTGTATTTGAATATCTAAGGAGTCTTTTTCTAAACTACCTAACCCTCATTACTCAAAAATAGGGTCCCCACATTAGCAGCTTCTCTGTAACCAGGGAGCTTGTTACAAATGCAGAAGCTTAGGCTCCACCTCAAAACTACTGAATCCAAATGTGCATTTAAGCAACATGCAAGGATGATCCTAGATTTTCACGGGATTGATTACAGGATAAGATGAAATAGATGGTAGCAAACACTCTTGAGGAATATAAAGTTCTAGAGCAATTAAGTACTATTTTTATGATCATTGGTTTGCTAGGCATTCTCCTGTGAAAGAGTAGATTAACAGTTTTCTAAATCAACTCATGCAAGCAGACTACCTTTCCCTTCTACCCGTGAGGGAAGTTACATTAATATGGGGCCTTAATGAATTGACTATTTTGAAATACCTAGCTTCCTCAATACATTTACAGTTGGCTTTCATTTGGCATTTTTCTCTTTAATTTACATTACTTATTTTCTGTTGAAATTTTTATTCTTTGAAATTGGTAATTTCTACCACTATGGGTTTTTAAATTATGCATTCTTTTCTTTTTTTTAAAGGTGTTTTACTGGTTATACTGGAGAAAGGTGTGAGCACTTGACCTTAACTTCATACGCTGTGGATTCTTATGAAAAATACATTGCAATTGGGATTGGCGTTGGATTATTGTTAAGTGGATTTCTTGCTATTTTTTACTGCTACATAAGAAAGAGGTAGGAAAAAATGAAAATGTGAAGTCGCTGGGCACTGGTTCACTTGATGAATATTTATTGAGCCCCTAGAATATACCAAGCACTGACATGTGTAATTTTTTAGTTAAAAAATGATCTGGCAGTTTCCTACATATTTGTTTTGATGCTTTTCCTTATAAACACAGACAAGCAGTAAAAATTAAAATTGCTCCAATCTACAGTTTCCCTTCATCCTCATCTGTCTGCCCACATCAAAATTGGTGAACACCACGAGAGTAGAGAGTGTAACTTGTTCGCGGTTGTATATTCAGTGTTTATTACTGAGCCTGGCACATAGTGGACACTCAGCAAATATTTGTTGAATGAACAAACCAAGAAATGAATATTAAATGAATGAAAATATATGGCCAACATGGGCCATTTTCTTTTTAGACTTCAGGTAAGGGTTTATTCGGAAGATTTTGTCGACTGCTAAAAGCCTAAAAAAATAAGCTTGATCCACACATACAAATTCCTTCTGTTATCCACACTGGTAATTTTTTCTTAAATCCATGTTACTAGGATAAAGGCAAGAAGTAATGGGAGATACTTTAAAGAGAAAAGTGCAAATACATTTCCTTGGCTGTACTCTATTGACGAAGTTGCCATTTTTAAAAATGACCAACACTGACTGTACAAAATAAAAGTTTGTTTGCTTAATAATTGTATCTTAGAGAGAAGAACATCTATTACGTCGATTGTAGATCAATTGTTATAAAATCTGTTCTATCAACTGATGTTGTTGTATCAGTTGCCTAAGAGACCAAGAAAGGAAAGAGAAAAAAAAAAAAAGGAAGGAAAACCTTTTAGTGTTAACAAGACTGCTGTGTGAGGTCAGGTTCCTTAGCAGCGAAACCTAAGATGGGAATTCTTGTGCAAGTCACTGGCTGAGGGAGTGCTCTAAGGTGAACCCTGTAACGGACTAAGGAAAACTAGAGTGGAGGAAGAAGGTAAGCAAAGTGTAGACTTTGCTGAGGTCTAGCCTTGGCCCAATTCCATAGGGAGACCTAGAATATGAATGGTATGGCAGACGTCTCCCACTAGAGCGAGGAGTCTTGGTTTTAGTGCTCTGTGTCATCAAGCATGGGTGGCAGGCTGCTCCTGGTGGGAAACGGGCCAAGGGCTTGGAATCTCCCAGGAAGCTTCGGGCTAAGTGTTCTCTTGGCCAAGGGCAATCCTCTGGAGAAGGATGCAGCTGTGAGCCTGGGGTATGGGTTCACCCCATGGATTTGGGGTAGGGCACCAAGAGCATAGATGTCATTCTCCATTAACTATAGAAACAGCTGTCAAATTTACATGGAAACCAATGTTCTGTTTTAGGTGTCTAAAATTGAAATCACCTTACAACATCTGTTCCAGAGGAAGACCACTGTGAGGCCTTTGTCAGAAATGTTCATGAGGCATTTATAAAAATCAGTGAGCCCCAAATTGAAATCTTCAAACGGAACAACAAAACTTCCCAAGCTGACTAGACTGGAAAATAATGGAAGCTGAGATCATGATGAAATGAGAGAATAAATTTCAACGTTGGTTTTCGGCCTCTGCCATCGTTAGGGTGCCTTGGGAGCCGAGTGAACAAGCTATGGTGACAGAAGTCAAGTTCATAGTCCTACTCTGGGTTGGTCGCTGTTGTTGTGTGGTTATTGTTCTTACTGCAGAAGGACCCAATGTCAGATGTGAAGTCCGTGGGAATCATTATCAACCTTGCAGCAAGCCAAGGCAAGGCCAAGCTTGGGTTCTCCGTGTGCTTTGCTACCACCAGTATTTTGGATCGCTGCTCTCTGGACCTGGTCCCAAACATGTTGCTTTCATGGTGTCTGAGAGGATGTGGTGTCAGCTGTCAGGATGAGGTCAGTGTTACGGCACCTCCAGGGACGCAAGCGTGTGCCTGAAGCCTAAACCAGAGAAAAGAAAATGGAGTGTCCAAGGCAAACACGAATCATGCCCAGCTTATGACAACACTATGTAGCCTTTATCTGTGAAATGCGGAATAAGCTAAAGAGTTCTTGATGACTGAAAGCTGACTGGATATGAGTCCTGAGTAGGTGAAACATTTCTGTTTCTGCATGGATTATAAAACTTTGTGCTGGACTCATTTGTCCCCTAATGCCTATGGTCATCACCTCTTCCTGTTGTTAGTGGAACTACCTGGTGACTATCCATTTTGACCGCAATTCTAGAATTCTACTAATAAAATTCGACCATTGGCCCTGAAATAGAAACTGAAGAATTGGACATAGGAATCTTCTCACCAGCCAACAGCATGTGGAAACTTTCTTTACCATTTCTGAATACTTGATAGCAGATTTGCACATAGCGAGAGAAAAATGGAACAATGGCAAAACTACTTATTTGGGAGTTAGGGTCCTTCCTCTTTAATCCTGTTTCTTCCACGTAAGTCGAATAGTCTTGCGCAGGTCCTTTAATTTCTTTGGGCTTTGGTTTTATTTTCTACAAGGCCCTGACAACTTCAAGATTGGATAGTGGGACAAGAGAAATTTTTCTGTATTTGTTTTGCAAGTGGGATTACTCTTAACCCCATCTCTACCCCCCGTACCCCCTCAAAAACCCGGACACACCACTGGATATCATATCAGGTGTATAGTTTAATGTGTGGTTTGTAGAATAATAAATTAAAATTTTGTTTTCCAAGGAAGTGAAACAGGAATTAAAGAATAATGATACCTACCAATTTTCTTTTGGATTCAATCTAAAACTATGGACTTTTTTTCTCCTTCATGACATAGATAAGCGAAACAGTTCTGATCACAAGATGGGTTAAAAGAGAATCAAACATGAACGTTCTTACAATGGTAACAAGACTTTAGCTTCTAATGACTTTCCATTCACTTCTAAACAAAACCTCACATTCTGCTTTCCTTTGAGGAGAAGGTATTTCTCCAGCTTTGTTTTTCCTCCCTGAGGAATTTCATGCAGATGAATCGCGTGTCAGCACTTCCTGCTTGTCCTCACAAACTATGCAAAGGTTACATCATACCAAAAAGTGGGGAGGAGAAGGATCCTCCCAGTGACTCCAGCGACCGCACCTAGAAAGCTGTGCCCTTCCTGGGCATTTCAAAAAGGTGTTAAAAAGCTGGGGAGAATCCCGGAAGAAGCAATAAAGCTTAATTAAGGACTGCCTCTTGATGAAAGGAAAGAAGAATTAATGCTGGAGTCCGGGGAGGTGATAACCAAAAAAGTTATAAATATCTGGTTATAAATATTTCTAAATTGTAAGCCCAATATAATTGAAATTAAATAACACCAGGCAGAGAATTAAAATTTCCAGATTGCCAAACCAAAACAGAAACCAATAAGGAGTCAGATTTTTTTCACTGAGGAATGGGATAAGATCCCCTCCCCACCCCAGTGAGCTGGCAGAAATTTAAAGTGTGGTTTATGAGAAGCTAACAGTTCATGGTCTGTCGTACAAAATGATCAATCTAGAATGGATTTTGAAGGGAGGAATGAATCTCTGGCATTCCTATGGCAGTATTTACATATGTAAGCGATACTCCAGTGAGAAAAATGCATACAAACAATATGTTCTGCAAACTTTACCATTCTGTTTTTTTCCCTGTTGCAGTAAGACCCTGAGAAAAGTCTGCCAGGGAGGCCCTGCGTCAGCCAGCATTTTCAGCTCTCAGTCATGAATTATAAGGTGGGCTGGATCATCTAGGAAAGGACTGGGAACATGCTTCTGGCATCTTTGACTAAAACAAACTGGATAAAGGGTTCATCGATTTCATTCACTTCCCATTTTGTCTTCTTCCTGTGTCTATCCTTCAGTCTTTGAGGACACACTCTTAAGTCATCAATATTCATAAGTGCTTCATTAGTTAGCATATTGGACCATGATAGGGGTAGGGGAAAAAACACTGTAACTTCACATTTGAACCAGTAAACTTACCAAAAAAAAGAAGTGTAATTACTTATTATTGTATCCTCTGTCCCCAAATTATTATTATTTTTTAAAATAATCTCTGTACCCACCATGGGGCTTGAACTAATGACTGTGAGATCAAGAGCTGCACGCTCTACCATCTGATCCAGCCAGGTGACCCAGCCCAAATGCCTTTTGGTATCTTATATTTTTATAATGTTTGAAGTAGATGAAATTAAAACATAGATTATCTTTCTGCATTTCCGGGCACAATACAAATCTATCCTTTAATTTTGAATGGTCCATTTTGGTGATGTCAAGAAGATTTCCATTCATTATATGCAATTGAAAAAAATGTCTTAAGAAAATAACAAGGCAAACATCAGCAATTTGAGCTTTTGATGTTGGACATAAGGACAATTCTTGTCTGCAGAAGACTGTGAGTAAGCCATCTAACTTCTAGTATTGCAAAATGTCACAAACTCTCCGTAGTGTGATGTAAATATTGATATCCTGCAACCCACATTCAAGGGAAGGGTTACCAGAATCTTTCTATTGCAAAATACCGCTCTTTCTGGCTTACATCATGGCCGCATGACATCAGGTTACTAGCAACTGCCAAGATGAACTGGAAGTGTTGAAATTTAATTTGTCAAAGTCTGGCGCTGTTCATCTGGGTGAGTCCACGTTTCTGTCCAAACCTTGGTGCGGTCCTGTTCAGTAGCACATTCAGAAGCAGATCTTCCAAATTCAGCTCTGATTTCTGTTAGTTATTCAACCTATGAGTACAAGAGCCCAAGCCATTCATTGCCTACAAAGGCAAAGGCTAGGCCCCTGGAGAATAGCTACATGAATCAGCGAGTCCCACCATTCTATTTCATTCCTCTGCCAAAGCGGAACATGATGGCTATTCCAGATTGTGGGCAACACCCACAGCCTCCAAAGAAACATCCCATAAAGATTAGGAGTGTGATTATAAGCTAACAAGGAGAATTGAACTGTTTAGTTGGATCTTATCTGTAATATATCTCGTAGCCTTTCTTTATAATTTTCATGTCTCAGGTGTTATTGGAGCATAAACCACTTGGATTGAAATCTAGTTAGAACTGCGGTCAGGCAGGATCAAACTAGCAGTTCTTTTGATCTTCAAGAGGCTGTTAATTAGGCTTCACAGTCTTCTGGAAAGAATGGCATCTATAGGTCTTAAAAACTGCACGGAAATATCGATTCAATATTGAGTCTCCTCACAAACCAAGTTAAAGTGTAAATACAAAGTATAATATAGCTACAACGTTTGAAAAGCATTATTAGTATTATTTTAATTAATCCATGAGTGTGTAACTGAGGCTTGGAGAAAAGACTTTCCCTTTTTCAAGGTTACTTAGCCTTTCAGTAGCAGAGCCTAGACCTGAACCAGGTAAATACCAAAGTCCCGCATCAAAACTCTGTATGAAAAAGGTTCCCAATATTGTAGGGAAAATATTGGTGTTAAGGGGTTTGCTTCTTGATGGGCTTAGAGATAATATCCAATTGGTTTGTATGCAAATGAAAAGAAAGCCCCTTTCTTTAAAATATGTAAAATAATAACCTTTGCCATGGATCAACCAGAAAAACTCCCTGTTGTCACCTGCTGATTAGTAACAAAGGCATACCATCCTTTGAGTGGGGCCAGAACAGGGTTCATATGCCCACTGACAGATGAATGTACATTTTGGGGAGAGACGATAGACTGTAAGTAGACCCTGGTTTATCTTCAGGATTCTGGGGATGATGAGGTCCCTTGGGAACTCTTGACCCCAGCCTCCCAGCCTGTGAAGAAGGGTTCTCTGGTGCTGGTCCCCTAACTGGGACACTAGTTTAGTGTGTTGAGGGGATGGGGAATGAGTGGTTTTCCCATCAACAGAAAAATATCATCATTCTCCTTCCCACAACTTCACTCTCACAATCCTACCCCGAGTCCCATGTACACTTTAAAGAAAGATGCTCACTGATGCTGGTCCAGCGAGGGGCAAAATCTGGAAGCAACATTAAAAAATCAGGGTAAGGCACAGACATTTAATGACTTGCAATCTAGTCCAGCTGCATGGTTGTTTAACTCTGTCAGGCTCCTTTGCGTGATTTTTCTCGTCTGTTAAGTGGAAAAGTTAGACTAAGGATGATCTCTACATCCCCTTCCTGGTTGAAAGTTGTGTTTGGAAAACCTGCGGCTTCTACAGTAGATACAGCCTGCAGACACACTGCCTTCGACCTTCCTGGGGTTTATTTTAAAACAAGCTCACATTTAAAAATCTAGATATTTTAATACAGTTTTAAAAATCTAGCTTTTTGTAGAAAATAGAGGATACACAGTGCTGGTCCCACATATTTGCCTTGCTTTGGTTTGGAGCGTGCCCTCAACGCCTCGCCTGCTTCTGCTCAGGGTTTCTGTGGGCCTTTAAAATCTGCAGCCTTGGTCCTTTGACTGGATTGATTTTACGATCCCGCCTCATCTC